GGTGTCATGTAGCTGTTAGCAAGGTGTGGGAATGAAAACTTTATACTCAACCCTGTAACTTTTTAATCCCGCTTTCACACAAACACTCTTCTTCTTCTTCTTCTTCTTCTTCTTCTTCTTCTTCTTCTTCTTCTCTCCTCTCTCCTCCTCCTCTCCTCCTTCTTCTTTCTTCTTCTTCTTCTTCTTCTTCTTCTTCTTCTTCTTCTTCTTCTTTTCTTCCTCCTCCCTCTGCCCCTCCTCCTCCCTTTCCTGATCTCAGAGTGTAGAAAACAGGGTGAGATAAATTTTCCTGTATCTTTTCCCCGACAAGCTCTTATTTAATCTTATAAAAGACAACTGCTTTTTAATGCAACATTGGTGCTAAGAGATGCTTACAAATGTTCACTATTCAATTAGCATTTCAGAAAGTGGTAATATCCATGACTTCTGAGGTTTACCTTAAATGCCAGGCAAATTATTATGAGAGAATTCCTTCTACCACCACAAAATAAGAAACCTGCCCTCCTAAAATTTACTGAAAATCATTCCAATTTTTGTGCTTTTAAATTGGCGGAAAATTTTGAAAGACCCTTTGTGCCAATAAAGGGGTAATAGTTGAAAAAGGGTTTTTCTCTTTTCTATTCTTGCCTCTCACTCCACTAAAAGGAAAGTTCTGTCAATGTCTCATTCATTTAATCCTGCTTGATGTATTGCTAAAATTTTCAAGGTCAAATTTCTATAGCTGCCTATTTTGAGCTACATCATCTGTAAATTCGGTAACTTTTAGTTTTAACACTTCTCTCATTAGCCGCTCAAGATTACTCAGATTTAGTTTTTATATTCAATAAGATCTTGCTGTTTTTTCTTTTTCTCTGCTAATGCCATAATTTTGGCTCTCTCCTAGAACTGTAGTATGCTATTTACTTCACAAAATATAAAACTAAAAAATAAATGTTAAAAAATAAAATTTAGATATGTTGAATAAAGTAATGAAAGCTCTTAGCTCTTTATAACAAGTAATATGACTGGATGGGGAACAACATCCAAGGACATAAGCTATCAACAATAGAATTCACTATCACACAAGGTCAATAAATGAGTTTTTCAAAAATTATTTCTTGATTCATTAAATAGGATTTAAGATTCAGTGTAGGCTGCCTTAATTAGACCCATACAGATATGCAAAATGAATGGGTTAAATAAGTAATTAATGATGTTAATATATCAATCAGATTTCTAATGTAGGTGTCTAAATTGAGTCAGGAGAAGATCTAAGAATTAATTTTACACATGCTCTAAGGTTTTGATTCATTTTAAATCAGAAATAAGAGAACAATTAAGAGTCAGAAGACACAGTTTTTAACATTGTATACAATTAGGGCTGGGTCCAAAAATATTAAAATAGCATTACAAAAGCACATATTAAAAGGTTAGGAAAAGGTACATAATACATTTGATTTAGGGATATGAAGAGTTAGTATGGCTCCACGCCTTTATATGTGCATAATGCCTGACTACTTTCCCACCATTTTTTCCCTTTGTTGAAAAACACATTGTTTTCAAGAATAGAGTGGACCATTTGATCAGGATGGTATAAGGTTTCCTGCATTGAGCAGGGGGTTGGACCAGAAGACTTCCTAGGTCCCTTCAAGTTCTATGAACATAGACTCATAAGCTTGAAGGGACCTGAGAAGAAACATATTTAAAAGTAAACACACATTTTCATTAGCTGTGATTTTGTTTTCTGATGATGCCTATCGTCTGCCTATGGGTAAGTAATTGCTTAAAAATAATTGATTTTAAATTAAAAAAATAAAGTTTAAAAATTAAATAATTTAAAAACCAGCATTGTCCTAGTTTTGTAAAATTGTAAAATTGTCCATAATATCCCATTTCTGGCATATGTAGCTGTTACCAAACATGTTCACACAAGAAATGGGCTTTTATCAACTAATGATAGTGAAGAAAGAGAGGCACCTGGGTATGCCAATGCACTTTGCAAGTTAGATTTTTCATTGTTGTACAAAAGTGCTGATGTGGATTTCACCTCCATTTAACATACAGGAATAGGAAATCAATATGACAAGGAAAAAAGATTTTAAAGTCTCTAAGTCTCGTTGTTAACAATTGAATGAAAAAGTCTAAAAACCTAATGATGTGTGACATGATGGTGTCCTTTTAGAATAAAGCACAGCACTGGCCTTTCTATTATTATTCTATTGCTTTCATTCAGTGGACAGTTTTATAGATTGTTTCAGTTCATCAGATTGTTTCAAATGTAATATAGCATTGAACATTATGTATTATGGTAAATATTCTCATGTATCATCTTAATTTTTTAAAAAATCCCTAATTAATATATATTAAAGTTTAATTTATGAACAGGGGAGCACAACTAAAGTAATTTAACAGATAATTTACTAAGATTTCAAAATATTATTGAAAATAAGGTAAATTCTCACATTCTTACTTCCCAAAGGCTTACTCTATTGGTTTCAGTATCTTCAAATAAATAGCACAATATTTAAAAAATTAAGAAATGAAGGGAAACACTTAGAGATTTGACTGAATTTTAAAAATTATATAATACATAAATCAGTATCCGTTGGGCCTTATTTAGTTAGCCAAGTACGATGCAGAAAAAACCCTAACCTTCCCATACTACCACCTCTTACAATACTAGACAACACAGTATCAACAGTAGAGACCTTCAAATTTCTAGTTTCTATCATATCTCAAGACCTAAAATGGACACCTAACTTCAAAAATATCATCAAAAAAGCACAACAAAGAATGTTCTTTCTGTGCCAACTCAGGAAGCTCAAACTGCCCAAGGAGCTGCTGATACAGTTCTACAGAGGAATTATTGAGTCTGTCATCTGCACCTTTATAACTGTCTGGTTTGGTTCTGCAGCCCAACAAGACAGACACAGATTTCAGAGGCTAATTAAACTGTAGAAAAAACAATTGCTACTAACCTGCCTTCCATTGAGGACCTATATACCGCACGAGTCAAAAAGAGGGCTGTGAAAATATTTACAGACCCCTCGCATCCTGGACATAAACTGTTTCAACTCCTACCCTTAAAACGACACTATAGAGCACTACACACCAGAACAACTAGAACAAGAACAGTTTTTCCCAAATGCTCTCACTCTGCTAAACAAATAATTCCCTCAACACTGTCAAACTATTTACTAAGTTTTCACTATTATTAATCTTGTCATCGTTCCCACCACCCATCTCCTTCCACTTATGATTGTATGACTGTAACTTTGTTGCTTGTATCCTTACGATTTATACTGATATTGTTCCTGATTGCTTATTTGTACCCTATGACTATCATTAAGTGTTGTACCTTATGATTCTTGATGAACGTATCTGTTCTTTTATGTACACTGAGAGCATATGTACAAAAGACAAATTCCTTGTGTATCCAATCACACTTGGCCAATAAAGAATTCTAAATGGAGCCAGTCAAAAATTATGATTAAATATATGAAGAATTTTTGGTGTTCTGATAAGAATGTAACAGTGAGAATTTCAATGGAAGAGGAATATTATATTTATGCAGAATGTTATATTCAAAGAAAACCAGTATAAAGTATTTTATTGTTGGCATATTATCCAAATCCTGGTCACTAAAGTGGATAGCTAGTTTTCCAAAAATTAGTAGAAAAGTAATGTGGAGTCCTTGATGCTCTCAGTTTGATTGTTTACTTACAGACATTTCATTACCTGACTAGATAACTTCATCAGTGCTATTGAATATGGGGTTTGCCCCCTATTTATATACAATAGTTTGTCTTGCTACTGTTTGTTCCCTGTTTATACACAACAGCTTATCTTGCTACTGTTTATGGCATGTAGTTTTCTCCTTGGTTATTCCTTTATGTATTGTTTTCTGCTTAATTGTTTGTCTGGTATTAATCCCCATTTATTTGGTTGTTGTCAGGTGAAAGCAAATGAACCACTCATGAAGTGTTTCAACAGTAGTTTATTGGTAGCCAGCTATTTTAAACCAATTTTCTTGCTAACTGCATTCACTTGGGAAGGGTAGGATAAGGCTTCAGGGATTTGGGGAGACGGCCAATCTGTGCTGCTTACTGCAGTGTAATTACTCTAAACTCAAGTCCCTTTTAACCCCTCCCTCCAATCTTCAATCATAGTTGTAGGTTGCTGGATGGAATTGTCTTTTTATTTCCTTTTTAGCTTTTTACTATTTCTTTTGAATGGTATGTAATTGTGATTTTTGTCTGTATATTTATTGATGGCTTATTTGTCTGAATTGCAAGCTTCCAGGAATCCCCTAGGGTTTTTAGTTTTGGTTTGGCTTAGGATTCTCCCAATTTCTCAGTTGAAATATGGCTAAGTTATTGAAAATATGTTTATTTGAAACTATGTTTGACTCTGAAAGAAATACAATGATCAGATTAAATCATTTTTCACCTGTTCTGGCAATGTAGTAAAAGTCATCTAGTTTGGAAAATTATTCAAATTGAAAAGAAATCTTAGAAGATATATTTCCATTTCAAACTGTGGTATTTTTATTAAATTTTACTAATCCGCTATGTGTTACAAAATATACTGATTTAGCACTATACATGCTAATTGCTGCAAGAATATTCCAATAAAAGGCTTAGCATACTTTAACAGTTGATCTTTTCTATGGAAAAATGGTTATCTAAGTTATGGGAACATGCTTAATGTCTTGAATAACTTATCTCAAAAGTAAATATGGAACAGAATTTATTTCAAATTGGAAACTATTCCTAGATTACAATTCAATACAATGCGAGTTTCCATTCTGCATAAAATTTATATTTTAATTTTAATTTTTTATTTAATTTAGATTTTCTAAATTAGGATAACTTTTAGTAGCACAGAATTTATTGCAATTCACAGATTCCTGATATTTATGTTTTGCTTAGAGCTTAATGGCATTTTTCAAACTTTTAAAACAACAGAGTACATTCTGTTATTCACAATTGACTAATGATACTGAAAGATTCTCTATGACATTTGTAAATGCATTGTTTATTCATCTGCATTCTGGTCCTTTATCCTTTCTTTTGTCCTTTTCCTTCCCTGCTTATATATTTCTTCTAAAATGTCTAATAAAAATATGGTAAACTGCAAAAACAAAAGAAGTTTGATTTTATGCTAACAAGTGGTTTATCAGTTAAAAGTGATGAGTCATTCCCCATCTTCAAAACTCATTCATACTGCAGAAAGACTGGGGAACTTCAACTGGTGATTGGTGGCCAGAATGTAGAGTGGCATTCATCTGTTTCTGCAGTAAGTAATGGGAAACAAGACACTGAGGTTACTCAACAGACAACTGCTATTCTAGTACAGGCAGATATTCTAGTGAAATGAATTTTCCATATTTCTTTCACTCCTCCTTTTGTTTGTTTGTTTTATTTGTATTCTGCCTTTATTATATTTACAAGTAACTCCAGGCAGCAAACATATCCAACATACCTTGATTTGGATCATGTGGCTTGTATGATTGTGTTTGTCACTGCCACAGGAGATAAGGGTATCTGGGGTTTTATATTGTTGGTTTTTAATACTGTATGATGCTAGGAGTCACATAAGCAAACAAATAAATTAATGTATCAACATTTTAAAGGCCTAAGTAGAGTTACAAGCAACAACAGTCAATAAATTTCCAAATCTTGACCAATCATTCCATTCTAGTTGGCACATAAATTTGTTCTTTAGAAAGTTTGCTTGGATATATTCATGAAATTTACTTTGGATGAGGATCTTGTTCAACTTCTTGTTGAAGGCTGATAAATCTAGGAAGATATGAATGTTTCAGATGCCAAAAATGGGTACTTTAAACTGGGGTAAGTAGCAATAATGGAGGGGTAAATCCAGCAGAAAGAACATCAGTTTAGCATAGTGCTCATGTTCTTTCTATGGCAAATGATATTTATTATAGTGGTCTGAAAAAAATCAAAGAAAGATCCATCATTCCATTTCCAGTTTACCACAGCTGTTGATAAATTTGAATCAACTTGGTTGATTCAATTTCTTGGAGAACTTACATGAAATTTTAAAATTGTTTGTTAAAATAAACTATATTTAAAATTTAACTACCTACAGTTTCTGATTTGGATGTAAGATGTTATGAAGTTTCTTAGCTGCTAGTTGTGCCATATTCATGAGGAGATGGCATAAACATGTGCATATAATATGGGAGCTAGAACATTGCTTATATACAGTATGTATCAGTGGTGCCTAACCTTTTCCGGACCGAGTGCCCAAAGCGTGTGTGCATGCATGCAAATGCGGGAGCACGTGTGCTAACCCCCAAAATTCAAAGTGCCTGCAGGCCCCATGCATGCGCTCCGCCTCTGTGCATATGGACGTGCCCCCCACAAGCGCACACGCCCTCCACATGCACCCCGCTCCCCCGCATGCATGCAGGCTCCCCCACATGTGCCCCACCCATGCTTGCCCATGTGGCCCCCCACATGCGTATCACCCCCTGCATTCATGTGCACCCCCACATGTGCCCGCCCCACATGCACAGCAGAGACCTGATAGCCAGCGGGAGGCACAAGTGCATGCACGGCAGAGCTGAGCTGGGGCAATGGCTCGCATACTCATAGAGAGGACGCTGCGTATCACCTCTGGCACCCGTGCCATAGGTTCGCCATCATTGGTATATATGTTTAGATGAAAATAATTTATACATTCTTCAGGTTTGGTTGGTTTTAAAGGAAGCAAAAATGGAGATCTGGTAGAACAGCTAGAATTTATTATTGCCTCCTGTAAAACATACTTGGACTGGCAGAAGATACTTCCATTACTAGTTTCCAAAAATGATTGTTCATTTTTAAAAAAAAATATTTAACTATTATTTTGTTGGCTTATCTTAAATGGAAACATATATAATTTCATCCAACATTAGGATGCAGGGTCATAGTATGCTTTGCATTAATAGTTGGGTCCAAGGAATGGAAGAATGTTGCCAATAGGTGCTCCTTTTCAGATAGGTAGATGCAGAAATAAATTGTAACTAATCCCCACTTTATCCTGTTTTCAGTAATCCCTTTGACATTCTACTTCCCTTCCATCCTACTGATGTGGCTAATTACTTAACTACCTATAATTAGCCAGATGAAAAGGTGAGAAGTCATAGACTGTGAGCTTAAGGCATACAGCTAGGCAAAAGAAACAGTATTGCAATGAGAAATAAGGATATGTTGGGCACTAAAGCTCTGCCTTCTGGTAACAATAAACTCTGATTAACATGAAGGCAATGTATGGGGCTGCCTAAATGTTCTACTGAAATTTTATGAACTTAAAACATTTTTCTTTTCTTTCTTAAAAGACAGACTTGTGGACTGATGGCTCTACTGTTAGTAAGAAATATTTGTTGCAGCTAAGTAAACCAATTACTAATCACTTAAACTAGCCTTTCCCCCTTGGTTGACAGGTAAGATTATATATTGTAGCAACTATAAAATAAAATGGAATGCAAGCATATAGAGTAATGAGAGTTATATTAACTGTTTGTCTGAAATCCTGCGTGAACAGAAAGGTACAGAAGCAGTAAAGCTGCCAGATTAATAGGGCCATGGGCAAGATATCATGAAACCCAATCCCAAATACATTTATAGAAGTTCTTGTTTTTACTGATAGCCACAAAGAATTTTTAAAGACGCTTTTGGGAACTAAGGATGCCCAATGCTCTTTAAAACACAGAAGATAAAGGAAAAGATGTAATGGCTAATAAGAAGAGAATGAATGGTAGACAGATAAAGGAAGAAAAAAGCTACGTTTTGTGGAAGAGAACAAAATGCACTGAATTATGATTTCCAAACTTATGTGTGTGTGTGTATATGTGTGTCTTTGTTTTTAACACTATCTTAACATTCTTGGCTCAGTGGCTAAGATGCTGAGCTTGTTGATTGAAAGGTCGGCAGTTCAGCGATTCAAATCCCTAATGCTGCGTAACAGGATGAGCTTCCATTACTTTGTCCCAGCTTCTGCCAACCTAGAAGTTCGAAATCACGTAAAAAATATGCAAGTAGAAAATAGGGACCACCTTTGGTGGAAGATAACAGCATTCCGTGTGCCTTTGGCATTTAGTCATGCTGGCCACATGACCATGGAGGCATCTTCGGATGGCACTGGCTCTTCGGCTTTGAAATGGAGACGAGCACTGCCCCCTAGAGTCGGGAACGACTAGCACATATGTGAGAGGGGAACCTTTACCTTTAACATTCTTGAAAAAGAAAATAGCTGTTGAGAAGATATCAGTGCATTATAATTGTTCAATTTTCCTTTTCATAAAGCAATTCAACAAACTAGGCACATGAAGGTTGTGACTTCTAATGATAATGACTGGAATTACAGGTAGTGGTCTGATAAATTAATCTGCCCTCAAGTCTATTTCTCAGTTGACAACAAAGGAAGCATCTGTTCCCAACCAGCACCGAATTTTCAAGGAATCATGAGTGCTATGGAACAAATTTCATGAACATTTTTTATACAATAGGATAGTTTTATCTGTTTTACAGTCCATGAAAATGATTTATGCAGACTTGCAGGTGGATTATGAGTTTAAAACAAGTTCTAACCACCCAAACAGATGTCTCTTACCTCTTTTTTTTTTTTTTAATTTTATGAGTTCCATTTCTCCACCCTGGCATCAACTATAATATCTAAAAGAAATTCATTAAATCATCCCCCCACTTTTTTTTGCCTGGAGTGAGGAGAACAACTTCAGTGTGTTTCTTGTTGGCTGTCATTTATTCTATAATTACATCTAATCTACACTTGGACCCTACCTTCCCAGGAAAGCAGCAATCTTGTGAGTGACATTTCCAAAGCGGACCTCAAACTGATAATTTACTAGAGTAATATATCATCAGAGCAAGGTGCTTTAATGATGCTTCTCTCAAAAGATGGCACTTTTCAATGAGTGGCTATATAATTGAGTAGCAAAAGATATGCCAAAGAAGCTGGATGTTCTGGAATATTACAGGCCTGCCTCCAGGTACAACTGGTTGATGTGATCCTGCTTTTCTCAGTTTATATTTTTTTAGTTTCTGTGCCTAGGTCTTCACACTTGATCATCAAACTGTGTCTCCTTGACAACTAAACTTTTCAAAGATTACAGGGGAAAAAAAGTTTCCTTCAGCCCTGGAGCTGTTTAATGCTTTAAAATGTCAAGGAAAAGATCCTTTGGTCCCAAGAGTGGGGAAGATAAGGAGGTAAGGGACTGAAAACAGAATATTTAAAAACATATTTACAAAATAATTCAGCACATTAGGCAGCTAAAGCAGAACATCTTATATTAATATGTAAAAAAAGATTGCTATTGCTTTCATTTCAGTAACAGCCTGGTTCAAGTACAATATTAGAGGCAACCTTGTTTCACTACACCTTTACTGTACTAGTAGATTAGTAAATGACCCTCAGAGCTAAATATTCTGCCCTAAATTTCTGTAGTCAAATAAATACATCTCTCATATTATTCTGGAGCACCTCTTCCAGCCAGAGCAGATCATAAGACCCTTATTTCCTGTAATGGAATGCAACTCTTAACTGAAAAAGACAATAGTGAACCAATAGCCTTAATGAAAGGCTTTGTATGTTCCCCGCCTTGGCTGCAGTATGCCTGAACTGAACAGATGTCAAGGATCACCTTCAAGCTTGATGCACTCTGGTTGCTCTGTCCTCTGTGCCCCATTGTTTATCTCAGCTAAGCTTCCATTATGATGTACAGGAAGCGATAGTATTGGGAGCATTTTTTAATCTTTAACCTAGTACAAAGGAATTTATCATTTTTTGTAGCAGCAAATATTCCTAATGACCCAGAAGATATGTATATAGTAAGAAGAGTATATTGAGGTAGAATTTGCCACAAGGGTGACTACCTGTATTACAGTGTATATTTGTGTCTATTGCATACTGGTAGCCTAATTGATGGGGTGAAAGTAGCAAAGAAAGTTTACTTTATTATGTCTACTACATCTTAAAGCTATGATCTTATCGTCATTCAGCTGGAAAATGATGCCAGGAGAGTGCTGCTAAATATATGCCTTCTTGACAATTTTATATCATGATTTATAAAGGCTAAGGGGGGGAAGTGAGGATTGACTGATTGATCCAGGGATTGGATAATTGTCTTCTTCAGATGGAGCGGTCCCCACTGCTATGTATAGCTCTTCTGGAAAACTTTATCGCTCAGAATTTTTTTTGAAGATCACTCCCTTTGGAGAAACATGCTTTAAAGTGGCAGCATTGGAAACATCCAGCCTAAGTTGGGCGTTTTTCTGGAATGCTGACATAAAGGTTGGTAGTTACTAAAAGCAAACAAACAAACAAAAAAGAGTAGTGTATGGAAGACACTGGTGAATTTGATTTATTTTATTCAGGCTACAATCTTAGTTGACTTCATGAATGATCTTTCTTACGGAAGAGTCAAAGGAGGTACTATTCTGCTTCTTCTTCTCCTCTCAGTTTTTAAAGGCTGAAATAGAAGACATCAATGCTCCTACTTCTACCTCCAGGGGTGATTTGAGATAATGGCTCTAACATTTTGTCCCATTGGCATTTATTCTGTTGATTATAGAAAGGTGCTATTTTATCTCCATTAATTTGAAGCTATTAGAAATGGACATAAAATAATATAAAATGAAGTATCATCAATACTTTTTTAAATACATTTCTTAAATCTCAGTCACATATGGATGTACAGGGCTGAAGTGAATGCCAAGAAGCAGAAATAGGCTGAAATGAAGTCTGTTGAGACAAGTTCTTACCAACAATATAAAAACCCCAGAATTTTTGGAAGTTGATGTTTCTTATTATTGATTGGAACATAGTTTCATTATAAACAAGGTACATATCCTGAATATACTTATAGGTTTGTTAGCCTTGCAAAGTTGGCCAGACAAGAAGCATAAAATTCTAAATGTAAGGTTATATTAACAGAATCTTCCAAGCTTGAAAATACATCTGTCCCCTATCATCTTTACAATCCAAGAAGTTAGAGAGGGTCCCTTCCAGAGGTGGGCTGCTGCCGGTTTGCACCGGTTTGGGTGAACCGGTAGTTGCAACCAGTGGGTGGCACCCCCACCCATCCGCACCCACCTGCCCCGGCACTATCCCGACCTATAGAACCATGTTTTTGAAGCTGTGCGCATGTGTGGAAGGGCGCCCTCGTGAGCGAAGCAAGCGGGTGCGGGTATGTGCTCACATTTTTGATGCTGGCCGAATCGGTTGTTAAACCACCAGCAGCCCACCCCTGGTCCCTTCTGCGACATTTGCCATTCCTACATTCCTTTTGTGAGCTCAGGTGCCATTGTCTGACTGTTGTCTAATCTGCAATGCTTCCATCTGTCTCCCAAACTCATTTGCACATACTATCACATCTTTGTCATTGGAGGCTTAAGTAATCTAGTCCCAGTCCAGTTCCAGATTTGGTAAGTGAAGTTATTAAGTGGACAAGGCAAAAATCTTTTTTGTTATCTCTGTCTGAAGTCTGGATGGTTTACAAAGTTAAAACATAAATAGTACAAAAAACCCTAAGAGATAAAAACTATAAAAGCATTAAAAATATTAAAACAAAATGATTTTAAAAACATACAATAGAGTCAATGGAAGAACACGGTTGATTCAGGAGCAGCACAATCATTTTATACAACTATCTGATCCCACAGCCATGTTTTCAGGCCATTCCAGAAGGCCATCAAGATTGGGGCCATAGGGTAGATGCAGTGGCAGAAATGGCTCTGCTCCTGGGTCCTGCCAGGTGATATTCTCTATTGGATGGAACCTGCCAAACACCCCTTTCTGCTGGACCTGAGGGGATGGGTAGGTGTATCTGGGGAAAGGCAGTTATTCAAATAATCTGATGCCATGCCATGTAGGGCTTTGTGGGTCATTGGAAACTGATTGGAGTAAGAACAGAAATGATGGAAACAAAAAAAAAATGTATGTGAGTAAATGGAATAGTTAGCAAATCATTTAATTATAAGCAGGGCGTATTAAAAGAATACATAATGTTCTTTTGATTGTTTATTTAATTCATGGGAAATAAATAAGGAATGCTTGTGATGATGCTGGAAGGCTTTGGGTTGGAGATGAGAATGTACTGTGGTTTTAATTGTGCACCTGAATGGTTTGTAGTGAAAGTGTGTGATGAAATAAGTAACACGAAACTGAAAATTAGTGCATCAAAGTTGAAGGTAGTTATGCTTGACATGGAAAAATGGAATGATCAGTTACATGTTATATATAAATAGTGAAAAAAATGGAGTGAATAGATAAATTTGTGCTCATAGATAACATATTAACTAAATATGGGTAAATGAAGACATTTTAAGATATGCAAATCATTGTAGGAAATCTGTTATAAATAATGAATATCAAAAGAATAAAAATGTTTTGGTGTTTCTGTTTATTCTCTTTATGAAGGTAAGTAGGCTAATAAGGATAAATATAAAAATAAATTGAATACAGTGGGAATGATTTACTTAAGATGTAAGAGAGGTCAAGAATGGTTGTGAATTAATATGGATTGGATATGTAAGTCAACCATCAATATGAAAGAAATAGAGTGACGTTTGGCCTCCTAGAAAGAATTAGTGAGGATCAGGTTATAGATATATATATGAAGAATGAATGGATTAAGAGGAATGGGAAGATTGAAAATACAGTAGTAGAGGATATGCTCAGGAAGACATTAATGAATAATTTAAAAAATAAAAGGCACATTCAACGAATGTGATAAAAACGTGATGGCGAACCTATGGCACGCGTGCAGGAAGTGGCCAGTGGCTGGGCATGCCAGTTGTCACATGTTGCTCTTCCGGGTTCCGGTGCTCCAGCTGGTCTTCACGTGCGTGGGAGCGCCAGAAACCGGAAGAGCAGCTGTTCTTTGTGCATGCAAGCACAGCAGAAACTGAAAGACCAGATGACTGGCATGCATGTGCATGCTGGAAACCGGAAACCGGTTTTCAGCGCTCCCACGCATGCATGTGCTCCTGTTTTGGCACTCGGTGCTGAAAAGGTTTGCCAACATTGTGATAGAAGCACACCTGCCAAGGACAGAGAAGTCTATTGAATACTGTTGATATAGATTATTTTTCACTATATTTCCATTTCTTTTTCTTAGCTCATGTTTTTAATTTCTTACAACTGGTCTGTGCTCTAGATACAATATTGTTTATCCTGAAAAAGAATAGCACAATGGATAAGCATGTATATGTATATACATAGGTCATTCTGCACCTGAATCTTAAATCTTTAAACCTTCACATAGATGCACCTGTTGCTTACCATGTCATGTTACTTGAGAGTCATAGCTAATTTCCAAACACATGCTCCAAACACACAGGAACCAGATAATGAAGTCTATAATATTTTGAACTTTCTCTCCTTCTACACAGTGACAATAATCTTCCTGAACTTCAGGATAGAGATAAGGAATGGTTAGGCCTATTTTAATGCTGGTGCTACAGAACTTTCAATTCAGATCTTTGTTTGCTCCCTCTCTCATATTATTGATATATTAGATGCATAAAAATGCAACAATGACAACATTCCAAGGCAAGGAAAACCTTACCAGAGAAATTGTACATTAGTATCTTTAGCATTAGATTCTTGTAATGTCCTGTGTATCGGGCTGCCTTTTAGAATAGCTTAGAAAGTGCAACTAGCAAAGACAGCTATGACTGGTTACTCTGTGGAATCATTGTGCCCCTAAAATTACTAACCTGAAATCTTCACTGACTGTCAATTAAGTTATTGAAAGCTTTGAAGCTTTGGCTAGTTTTCAAGATGTTGTAGTTGGCTTATAAACAGCCAGGAGCTTAGATTTTATCAGAAACTACCTGCTTCTTCATAGGCCTACCTGCTATTTATGCGGTGGTGAAGATGTCCTATGATCATAACACAGCAGGCTGCTGATCTTGCAGGGAATTCTTGGTAGTGGTGCCTGTCAGAGTGAATAAACTTTGAGGAGAAATGAGGTTATAGTTCTCTAAGCTTTCTTTTCAATTAATCATGGGTTTTTAATCAGTTGCCACTAATTTTGCTCTTTATTTAAATGCTGGCTTTAGAATTTTCTTTTATCATTTTAGTGGTTTCAAAAATTATATTTATGAAACTTGTTTGTAAGAAAGCAGGTAGGATGAATTAAAAGAATGTGCTTCTTTTGCTCTGATTTATGTATAAAATTTGGGAGCCCTCTTTTACTATTACTATTACCCTCTTTTACTCCCTCTCCTGAATTAGGATAAAGAGGCTCTTCAGTTGAGGAAGTCCCTTTTTTGTGTCTGCCCACAACTTTAAAATTAGAGAGAGATTTTGAGCCTGCAGATAATAGCTGCTGTTAATGTAGTATATACAAATGGAAGAAGACTGTTTTAATGTATTGTTATATTACACATTCCAAGAAATGGAGCAGTTTAATCGTCATTTAGAAGTAAATATTTCATTTAGCATCCTGAGTCATGTTTTCTGAAGATAAAGCACATTGTTATTATGACTCAGCCTTCTGTATCAGTCCTATCTGAGAAATGAATTTATGTGGGTCCAATCTGACTGTTCTGTTTTGAGAACTAACAGATCATAATGGAGCCAGTATTTCGTCATGTTTATGGCTTTACCAAAAGCAATATCAGACATTTATGACTGTGTTTTTCTTGGTCAATGTGACCAATTGACGTTTTGGATTACATGAATTAATGTTAAATGAAAGTCTCAGTATGTTCTTGATGTCTACATTCTTTGTTTTTTTACACTGTGTCTTTTTGAAAAAAGTAACTGGCCAAACCAGACCTGCTATGTGGTTATGAAATCACTTAATATTTCAGCAAAATGCCTGTCTTGACAGTACCTATGAATTAACTCTTTCATGCCAGAGGCAGAAGCAATTAACCAGGCTGTTTTAATTATGCCATTGTGTGGCTAAATTATTTCACACCTTTGTCAATGCAAATTTAAACAGTTTGCTTTGGAATTTCTTACCTGGTGATTTTCTTGTCACACCCTAAGCTCTTCCTTAGTATGGAAAATATGCTTGGCCCTAATCAGATAATAATATATCATTAGGTATGAGATTTTAGGCAAATAAAAATGGATCTTTGGAGAAATGATATCTGTATTACTTTGAATCAAAAATACAAATTGTGTGAGCTATCTCAGTTTTTCCCTCACACCTTAGTACTCTTACAACCTCCAACTTATTTATTAGAAGTTATCCGTTCTTTATTATTTTATAAGTAACTGAAGGTGGCAAACATACATAATACTTATTCCTATTTTTTCCACAACAATAGCCCTGCGAGGTGGGGTGGGCTGAAAGATAATGACTGGCCCACAGTCATCTAGTTTTTCATACCTAATGCAGGACTAAACAGCTTCCTGGTTTAGGCCAATTCTTTAACCACTATACTCAGTTGGCTTTCATTCCGTAAACTCTATCAAAACAGCTCTGTCCTTAATACTTTTTTTCCCAAGTTGGATCAAAATTGCTTTCAGTTTCGGAAACCTCTTTTTCCACTCTTAATTTTGTTAATGCCATATCGACATCTTCATTCATTTCTCTGGTTGTTATTTCCATCTCCATTGCACAAACATATTTTGTAATATCCCTAGTATAATATATTTTCCTAGTGTTTGTTGTTTTAGCGATTGTTGCTTTTTTAGTAATAGCCATCTCTCTATCTCTTTTATTTGTCCAAACAAGAGAAAGCAAAAACAAAAGGGAAAAGTCTCCTCTTTTTATTTCTTTTTCTTTGTCTAAATTCTTAAATCATTAATCCAATTTGATCCCTTCAACAATCTATGAACTTTAAAGACAATCCCTTGATTCTTCATTTATAAAAATCAATCATTTCTCTTAAAGAATACAAACAATCCTTTTTCCCATGAAGCTCTATAATATTTATTTGCCGGTATATATATATATTTGTTTGTTTATTCAAAAATACTTCAAAATAAGCAAAATCCAAATTCAACCAAACTTTTTATCCATTTTGAATTTTTGTGTTTTTTAATTCTTAGAAAGTTTTTTTTGCTGCAGGTTATTTTAAATCATTGTACTTATTTCTTTCTATTTCTCGGCCCCTGCTGTAGGATCACTCACCAGAAGGTCTAATTATTCTGCTGCTCCAAAGATTTCTATGGCTTTTAAACAATTAGAATACATTTTAGGAAGAAAAGTTAGGTAAGACTGAATGTCCATTACAGGCTCTACTTAGGCTGCAAACATGATTTCTGCTTCAGCTTCTAGGGCTCTTATTCAAGAGTTGCTTGCAGGGTTCTTCAAATTTTCTCATGAGAAGCTGCCTTCTAAAACATATATGGGCAACCTCTTTAGGTTTTCCTTATTTGGAGAAGCACCATCGAACCAGGCTTCCTGCCCAGTCATGGTTCTACACCTTAGCATCATCCCTGCTCTTTGGAGATACACCAGTTTGCCATTTTTCCACCCAGAATCTTCATTGTTTCCAGTTCTTAGACAGCAGAATAAGATTTAAATTCCCAAAGGCAGAATAATTGTGATTAAAGAACAAACAAAGCATTAGCTCACACTACTGACTGAACTAGGAATCTCACAATCCTTTTATTCAGGATGCTGTCACCTCCTAGAGATCGTTGGGAGCTGAAGAAGCCTTACAGAAATCAGTGAATTAACTAGAATTTGAAAGCAAGAGATTCTTAGAAGAATTACATAGCCGTATTTCATTATTGTCAGGAATAGACACTAATATTAGAGTTTAAATTGCTTAACGCATTGTAAGCCACCCTGAGTCTCCGGAGAAGGGTGGCATATAAATCAAACCAATAAATAAATAAATAAATAAATAAATAAATAAATAAATAAATAAATAAATAAATAAATACATACATACATACATACATACATACATACATACATACATACATACATAATCTGGAGGTCCATCAACTGTTCTTTTCCAATTGATCTTTATCCTTTATCTGTCTTGTTCTTCTTGAGCTTGAAATTGTATGTCATGAAGTTCATATAATTTATAGCATTACAGAATTATATCAAGATAGTTTTTTTTTATTTAGCTGTTGATTTAAGATGAGGAAAGCCAAGGTCATGTCTTCCCCCAACCATGGAAGCTGCTGGATTACTTGGGATGATCTCCCTCCTGAACCTTTATCAAACTGCTGGTGGAGGCGGGGGAGAGGAATGGGAGGATTTTTTTAAAAAAATCACACTGAATTCTGTAGGAAAGGTTGGATATGGAGCAGCATAGCTACATGTGCAACTGTCCCTGATACTGCTATGAAGCAGAGATCACACAGTATTGTCATAGTTCATACTCGTCTACTTCCCAGCCCTAAAGTTGTGAATGCAATTAGAGCCCTCTTACCAAAACATCTATTTAGCCTTCTGCTTTACCAGTGGATATGCAAATGTCTTGGGAAAGTTCACAACATTCTTTGGAAGGTATTAATTGACTTCATTTTGAGGATCTGTGGGTAAGGATTCTATTGCTCTCCAGTTCTTGCTGAACGATAACCCTGAGCAACCATTCTCATTGGTCACATCAACTAGAGTTAGTGTGATTTATAGTTTCAACAATATGTTATACATCATGTAGTCCCCTTTCCTGTTGAGCCTTTTGGTCATTGGTGTACCTTGTAATTAATCCATAATGTACCGTAATTGTGATATAATCTCAGCAAGTCAAGTGAGAGCACTGATCGATCTCTTTTAAAAATAAAGATGTAGTATATTGAGTGAGAGAAGATATAAATTACAAAAAAGATTAATGTGATTATTCAGCTTTTGGGTATGATCCAAAAGTTTTCAAATTAATATATCTAATAACTGTGCATTTATATTAGCACAAGCATAAACCTGCCTTACAGAAATTATATTAAACCATGAAAGGAGACAGTAATTTTGATAAGGATGCATCTATGTAGATTTGGGATAGTTCATAATCCATGTATTCCTCACTCAATTACCATCATAGACAAACACAGCTTGTCTCTGTACTTAGCCTTAAAGTCTATTAAAGAATATTATCATGTGAACCTCTATTAGACAGATGAATAAAACATCTAAACTTGAGAATCTGGATTTAATACAGTTCACCTCTTTTAATGTCATGGGATTAATAAAACCATTTTATGCTATCTGGAGATTTCAATCGTACCAATTACAGGAAACTTTTCTCTTAGCCGAAGAATTCTTCAGGTTTATGAAATGTTTACTGTTAATGATCATGAGATGGGTTTTTTTTAAAAAAACTGTTGGTCTGCAATAAAGTCTTCCTCATCAGTGATTTAATCACTGATGAAAGGACTGACATGACATGTCTTATTGAAATCTAGCTCAGTCCAGAAGAGGGACAGCTTTTTCAGAATATGCCGAGTGATGGAAAAACTCTTTCCTGAGAGCTGACTTGTAAAATGGTTGGTGAACTGAATAGGAAATACTGGTTTCCAAAACATTTCTGACATGGAAAACCCTCTGAAGTTCTTTGGGGGTGGGGGTGGGGAATAAGATCTAAAGCATTTGTGGACTTAATTGTAAAATATTGTTTGGAGTGTCAAAGTTGGTTTTGACAGAACATATTTTGTTTAAGATTGTGCAATGAACATAAGAAAGACTACTGTACAGTTTTGGCAAAGAACACTTTGTTTATGGGTTGAATAATTTTACTCAAGTAAATCTGTATAAGCCAACTCCCTTTGGGTAAATCTAGTGCTTATCTGTTTAAAATTTGTATTTAGCTTTTGTTTGGAATTGGATCAAATGAAAATTAAAATTAAAAAGAAATATGCCTAGTGATGTTTGGGTGTAGCATCAGCCAGCACTCTGGAAAGGTAGGGTCAATTGTCATTTGTCTAAAAATTGGTTTTAAGGATCAGTTAGGACTGTTGCTGTTGTACTAGCCTCACTGCTGCATAACAACCTCCCTGACCAAGCTCCCTGATGCTATTTCAGGGCCACCAGTAGAGTTCTTGGACATTTCAATCTAGGAATGAGGTCTAAATTGGATTGAGAGTTAATGGTCAACATGGCAGCTCTGGGCCTATCTCACGTCATCCAGAACCTGATATGGAACAGTAGTCACACTCCAGATTTGGTGTTCCTGCCAGAACAATGAGTATATGATCTGAAATTGGGGTGTCATGATCAGCTCACATCCTGATTTCCATGGGATTCTCTAGTGCCACCTGAACTGCAAGGATGCTCAACCTGTTAGATCAGTCTTCCCCCGAGTACTGATGAAGCTAGGCATGTTTCACAGAGAATTGTTGCACAGTCCATCCAAAGCCTTGGCTGATGCCTGAAATAATGGGTTTGCTAAGGTATTGGATTGGACTGAACCCATGCACCCGTGCAACCTCTAACCTCTCTCCATAGTTTATAGACTAATTGAGGGAGATGAAATGAGAGATGATATATCTGGAGTGTTTCTGGTGCTCAGCTAAGGATGAACATGATAGAATGCAGATTAGTGCTGCTATTAAGGACTATCTTCTAACGATAAGGGTAATGAAGCAACATAGTTCCCTGCCTTTATTGCATTTGTAAATTGCTGCCCTGCAGCTTTGTTTTGGGTGACATGAATCTGTCTAAAGACGTCTAGGGCAATCTTTTGCAGGACATGTAGAGGAATTTGCCATCATTTGTTGGAAAAATCACTTGAATTTGTTCACAATTAGACACTGGCTGTGATGAGGTCCAAAGGGAATGCATGTGGTAGAGTCTTGCCCATTATCTGTGACCGTTGTTGGACCTGAGGAAATGGATAGGATCTTTAGGACTGAGTTAAGCTAGCTGCTCTTTAAATCCATGCTCCTTTCGGCCTGGGGGTGAGTGATGATGTCATGTGATGGGTTCTAGTGATGGATTAATTCTTTGAATGAAAAGGTTGTTCTTTTATCTCTTAAGTGATCTAGGTTCACCTTCTTCTCAAGGAGCCATCACTGAACCCCAGCATCCTGGACAATTTTCATCCAGTATCTAACCTTGTCTTTGGGCAGAGGGTGATTGAGAAGATGACTGTATAACAGCTTCAGAAGCCTTGG